CTCAAAAATATCGTGAACTGTGCCTTTAACTATTCACTCTGGACAGTGAACTATTCACTGTCCCACACAATCTCCATTGAAAAACCTTTGCACNCTGATCAACGCTTCAGGTGTAGCTCCGTAACCGTATTGTTCCTCCAGCGACTCACCCTTCTGCTGGACAACAAGTCGGAGCACTTTTTCTCTGGTTTCCAGAGCTTTTCTCAAATTCTGAAGCAAAATAGGAATAGAAATTCTAAAATCGAAGAGAATATTAGTCTTTTGTTGATTCTGAAGTTGATGGAGAACATCTCACTTCATCATTAGATATTGGCAATGTGCTTCCGTCTTGTGAGAGGTACGTGATATGAGTTGATGATCTTTGCTCTTTCGTGAGCCTATGGAGATCCTTAAAAGCATTTGTCCAGAAGTAGCTCCGATTGAACTCCATTTAATCACTGTACAGCGTCTTCCGACTGCAATGCTCACCTGTATTAATGCTGCGAACTCATCGTACGACGGTGAGGGTATGCCAGCCCCAACAGCTATTGAAAACCGTCGAAATTCAGCACCGAACTGTGATTTTATTGCCAGCTTTACCTCCTGCAAAACAAAAGTAATATCAGACATGAATGAAGGGCAAGGAAGCATTTTTTCTGAGTCCCTCCTCTTCTGGCACTGGTAGGTGGTATGATCCACGGGGACGGTAAGAGGGAGGGGGGAAGGCGGGAGTGAAGCAAAATTGCTTTTTCCAACTTTAGTTTCCCACTTAGGTTCCATGATTACATATCAATTAGGTGAGCATGCATCATTCCGGTCGGACACACCTTTGCCACGCTATCCTTCCCTACTGTAATTATGACTTAAAAGCAACCCAAACTCCTGTCAACCTAGTACAAGGAAACGCCTCAGGGTTCACCTCATATAACACGTGTTCGACTAGTTTTTCTGATTTCAAAATGGCGAATAATCGTTTTCTGATTAGAAGTGGTCAGGTCGTCTGTCGGTCGTGAGCATCGACTACCTGAAGAATGCAGCGGAGGAGCCCCCGCAAGCTACCACCAGATAGTTGAAACACTCGGACCACACCCCAGCATTATCGCGCGAGAACTGAGAACGTTGGCAGTAAGCGTCCTTTGACGTTCACTAAGTGAGCCGTCACCTACAGACCGCTTACTCTTTTCTAACTACATTGTAATGCCCCCACAAGTCATCATATAGGCCTTATACGCGTTCAATCAGTCACTACAATTCCGTGTGAAGCTGAAGCGAGGGCGCATCCCAAATACGGAACTGTTTGATGCCGAAGACTTCATCCTTCATATAAAAGGTGTGGGTAGATTCAACTGATAAAAAAATTCATGCGGGGGTTAAAATTAAAATTGACGAAAACAGAGATGATGGCGAAAACGGTCATGTCTCTCGACCTAGCCTTTCATTACAACGATTTGCAAAAAGTATAGGAAATAAATCTGATAAAAACGGAAGTAAAAATAATAATAATAAAAAACAAAATAATAAAAATAAAAAAATAAAACAAATAATATAAATAATAACAATAAATAATAAAAACCATATTTCGATATACCAAATTCTGTCGAATGATATTTAACATATTTAACGCCACGATAAAAACTTTCAATAAAATAATCGAAAATTAATCGGAATGACATCGCAAAAAAGTGCTTCATCCAACCGTATCTATACCACTCCGCCCTTGATCACCAGTTTGTTATCCGTTGTTTTAGGGTGGGCAAGGTTATCGTCGACCTCATTCCTTCTCGAGGATATTCACAAGGGCATCAAACCGACCGCCGAGACATCAACAAGATCATTTGTTTTTCCGCAAATTGCTGATTACTGAGCACTGTTGGAGAAAAAAAAGATGTGAAAGCCGAAGTACCATGGTAGCCTAGCTATTTTACCAAGGAGACCATGCTCCAAGTGTTTCTGATACCATTGATCGAAATTGGGGAAGACGAAACGAAAAAATACAAAATTCGTAACCAAAAATTCAATTAATCAGACATGCTAGTTTTGATAACTAAGAAAATAAGACGAAACGAAACAAACAAACCTCTAGTCGACAAGTTTCCGACTGATTGATCTTATTGAGGGAATTCAGAGATCTGTAGGATTTCAATGCACAGCTGTGACCTGAGCTGTATAACGATGTAGGTCGCTTAGGCGACATTCTGGAAAGCCAGCGATTGGATTGAATAGGGATGATTGCTATAGAGGAACAGGCTCAAGAGAAGAAGCAATAGTTGTGTGAAGTGACAATATGAGCAATGGTGTCTTGAAAATGTCGAAAGCTCAGACTTTCGTTCAGTTAAGAACTCGTGAAAGAAAAAGAGATATATCGTACAGGAGGGAGCACCTGTGAGGCCGATTTACTTGGCAAAGTGTCAGAATAGGAGTAAAAACAAATGTAGCGGCTCTATAATCTGTAAGATTGAGGATAATATGTGAATTCTGGAAGCGTACAGCTTCTCGGCCGGATTCTGCCTACAGTAGTCTCGTCACTTCAATGATAAACCTAAGGTCTTTTTCATCACAACTCTTGGTGGCGTAATGGTACGTTCTCGGCCAGGGGCTAGTTGAATCTGGGAGGCTTGATCCGCTAACTTCGCACAAGGCAAGACAACTACGTGGAAACCTTGCGTTACAGTAAATTACGGGCAGTGAAGGGGTTGGAAATGATTAAAGGCACAGCTCACGATAAAAATGGTTTTTGAGATTTCCCTATAGTATGAATTCGAGGCTCCCCCTTACGCCATACCTGTCGTTATAAGGGCGAAAAATGTCTTGGATAGGGCACAGTAAGGTACAATAGATTGTATCGTGCGAATGCCACACCCCTGGTGGACGAGTTTCAACGGCTTCGTAGAGGCTGCACTATTCACAAGGGAACCAATGTAAGAAGTTCTAACAGCTTGTCGTGACCCATAGCGACAGTGGATGGCAATTTTGGGCAGTCATGGTTTGATGTAGTCAGCACTTTGCAGGATGGCATCGAATTGAATCTCGTCCAAAACCCCTTACTTGCCATTTCTGACGCGGTGATCTCGTACTCCCCCACTTTCACTACTTTTAAAAAGGTTCAAGTAGGCGAATTTTCTCGCTTTCTTCGCCGCCGATGTACTCCTCTATATTAACAATACCACTTTTCAACCTAAGAAGGGTACCTCAAAAATATCGTGAACTGTGCCTTTAACTATTCACTGTCCCACACAATCTCCATTGAAAAACCTTTGCACGTACAAAAAAGGGGTCAGACCATGCCATCCAATAATAAAGTGCGCAGCTTTACAATTCAAAAGAAAATGCTCTTGACTACATAAAATAAAAAAAAAACTTAAAAAATCTGAACCGAGACCCATGTAATGAGTGTGAGGAATAGCAAGTTCTACGCTGAGTCACCTACGCCAATGACGTTAATGGCAACAGTACAAATGGCAGTGTAATCATAGCGCTAATAACTGGGAAGGATTTGTGAGCGCATTCGACATCCTCTCTAATAACCACGACAATGGGTCGTCTCAGAAACATCACGATTTCACGGGTTAGGGGATATTTCTGATAGCTAGACCAAGGTGGGGAGTGAGGAATTCCGGAAAAGTTCCCAATGCACTAGCCTCCTTCATTACTCACTCTAGTGCTCCCGTTATCGGTTTTTGCCACGGGATATCAAACCACTAGGAGAAAACACAGATGTTTGCCACCTGTGTACCTATGGGTAATGGTCCCTCGTGAACGGCGGCAACTAGCCAATTTCTAAGGACAGAGGGATCTCTGGACCATAGATAACATAGGAGTTTCGCTAGCCCTCAGTACTAATAGGTCATGGAACGGTGGTACATATGTACTAGGAACGACACCATAGGTGGAAAACTCAGCACAAATATTGAATACCTCAATAATTGGACTAAAAATAGCTCTTCAGGTAGTCAAGGGTGAAGAAGCAATCTAATTAATTTAATAATGGGTTTTTAAAAACATAATGTCGACCCAGTTTGCAATTTAGGAACCTTTTCGGGGTGGCATCAAACCAGTAATCATCAGAGAGCGCACTTCAGAGAAATGAGAGCAAGACGGTTTGCCATTAGGAGAAGTAGGCTTCAGACAGTGCAGAACCACTGAAGACAAGGAGCAGAAGTAAATGCTCTTCTGTTCAGACATCTCCATTAGCCAAGTGGAAAAGCGACAGACTCAGAATTTGAGATTTAGCTGTTTTTACAGCTACGATCACAACACACTAAAGGCTGTAAAAAACTGTTTATTTCTGATTTACCGATCTGATTTATGTAAACATTACATTTAATAGTCAGAATGAAGAAAATTGTAAGTCAGGAAGCCGTACACGAAATGAATTCTAGAACACTTGCGAGGACTTTTTCTTATGAGCTGATGAAAAGTCTGTGATCGGCTAGAGGAGGAAAACGCATGAAAACGACGTCGTCCGAAGTGAGAATTGGCTGAGGACATCACAGATCGATCGATGGGACCTCTTCGGAGGGGCGGGAGGAGTTNAGCCATGGGAAGGTATGAAGCACAAACAAATTTCTTCCGACCCCACCATCTCGCACTGCCCTACTCTGAACATTTCTGCAGCAAGCCAGGTAAATATTNTCTGTGATCGGCTAGAGGAGGAAAACGCATGAAAACGACGTCGTCCGAAGTGAGAATTGGCTGAGGACATCACAGATCGATCGATGGGACCTCTTCGGAGGGGCGGGAGGAGTTTGGAACAATGAAGGGTCAGATGAGCACGACGGCATTCGCATGCAGACAGAGATGACCCCTTATGACGAGTGCCGTCTTCGAGTCAGAGGGCCCTATAGAGTCTGGGAGGCCCTTGATTCCCGACTAAAGTTACATTCAGATTTCATTTTTTTTTCTTAAGCGACGATTCCATTGATGCTACTTAATGGCAAAAGTTTTTCTTACACCGTCCATCGGGAGTCGAAGAATAAGTTTCGCAGAAGTGCCCCTGTTTGACGTCTGGTGGTATTGAATGAACTTTCAATGTGAGGGGATCTTCAAAAGAGAGAGGGACTCGTTCTAACAATAAAATTCAAAACAGGCCCACTTTATCTAATAATGCTACATTCCCAGAGTCACTGGGTTACCTTCTAATGGGAAACCTCCGAGTCAATAATTGGGAATTCCTCCTAGACCAATTGTAAAGGAATAAAAGGGTTATTGAGCATGTGAACTATGCTTCCTAGCTGAGAAAAAGTACCACTTCTAGGACCGTTTTCCAAAAGGCTATAATGGGCAGTATAGGAGGACCTGAATGACTTGTGTGAAGATGCAGAATCCCGTAGGTGAGCCTACGAGGGGAGCCATGGGAAGGTATGAAGCACAAACAAATTTCTTCCTACCTCACCATCTCGCCCTGCCCTCTACTCTGAACATTTCTGCAGCAAGCCAGGTAAATATTGACATACTGACCTATCGCTGCGGTATTATGAAGGAATCACGCCTTGCAGGTCCTTTACTATACTTCCCGGTAGAGTTTTCGGAAAACAAAATTTAGTGGAATATTGAGACTTGCTAAGAGAGAGAGGAATAAAAAATGATCCAAAATGATCCCGTTGGCTCCAGCCGCCATTATTCGTCCACATAACACACTCGGTTCTAGCTCGCTATCTATAGCAGTATCAAGAATAATAGTGGAAGATAACCTTTGAGGTTGAGGGTCTCAGGTCTACTATTCAAACTGATTGATACTGTTCAGAAGAAAGGCTCAATTAAGCTCGAGAATATAATTCGAACCCAATTAATCCTTTCATCTTCTTCATCTCACCAGTAAATTCTTTGAAGGCTCAACTCGTTGGGTAACAGGAGTAAATTGATAACGCAGAATAACTCTCTGTTGGCGAATGTAGAGAAAAAACCATAGTCAGACCAAAATAGAGGGCCTGCTACGAACTGGTCAGTTCTGAGGCCGGACAAGGTTATGTCAACGAAGGGTT